TTCAAGATGTAGTTTGAATGTCAACCCCTCCACGAAGCCCACCTCCTTCTCCCAGGCTGCTCTCTCTTACAGCTCTTACCTAAGGCTATGGTGGTCTCTTTACATGTCTCCCCCATTAAATCATGAGTTACTGGAAGGCAAGGACCAGAGCTAATTCTTTTTCATAACTCAGTGCCTGACAAATATTGGTCCTTAACAAATGTTTGTTGAATAACTGAGGAGAGCAGAAGTCATAAAAATAAAGTTAAAAGAAGAGATAGTGTGATAGAAAAGAGACCAAGAGATATAATAAAGAAACACAGAAGCAGGAGTTCATAAAAAGAGGGAGAAGAATCAGTTATGAGAAGGGCCAGCATAAGAAGGCATGGAGGTTGGGAGGGGAAGAGGCAAACGACACATGTGGGTGGGAGAGTGAGGGAAGAGAGGACACAGGTGAACTTAAACACACACGTCCCTTTCTAATTTTTCTTTTCTACTTTTAAGAGCAAAGCAGAAATGCTGGAAGTCCCCAAAGCAGAAATATACGTGGAGCTGCCAATGTTAACCATGATATAGAATTAGGTTCAGGAATGACGTAGACCCATGATGCATGGTCCAGTAACTTTGGCATCACCTGGGAGATTGTCAGAAATGCGGAATCTCGGATACCACCCCAGACCTGGCGATTCAGAATGGACATTGTTTTTTTGTTGTTGTTGTTGGTTTTTTTTTTGCGGTACGCGGGCCCCTCACCGCTGTGGCCTCTCCCGTTGCGGAGCACAGGCTCCGGACGCGCAGGCTCAGCGTCCATGGCTCACGGGACTAGCCACTCCGCGGCATGTGGGATCTTCCCGGACCGGGGCACGAACCCGTGTCCCCTGCATCGGCAGGCAGACTCTCAACCACTGAGCCACCAGGGAAGCCCCAGAATGGACATTTTTAACTAGGTCCCCAGGTGATTCCTATTTACAATAAATTTTGAGAAGCACTGATGTAGACGTCTGAAATCCACAAATAACCTCCAAGAACGTCTCATTCTATTCAATGGTGTGGTGCACAGAGACTTGGCACTAAGCAACTGCCCCAACCTTAACCAAATCACTTAATCTCCCTGGATCTCAGTTTCTTCATCTATTAAATGAGAAGTCCGGAGGAGATGCTTTCAAAAGTGCCACAGGGCTCTCAAATCCTTGATCTCATCTAACAACGTAACTGCAAACCATTCCTGTACCCACCAGAACAAACAACAAATAGCATCTTTCACTAATCAATATTTCCCTTCTCTCCGTTCATTCATCCATAGACATACCATTAACAGCCACAGGTGCATGGTAGGAACCCATCTCCTCTGAGTTAGGCCTGCTCCTTCACATTCTGTTCTATTTTCTGCAGCCTTCTGAAAGATAGTATCAATTCAACCACTAATCTACTCTCCCTGGAGACTCTTCTTGTGGTTGCAAAGAAGAGATGCACTTTAATAAATGTGAACAATTCATTAGACCAATAACTCTTTGGATCCATATTTATTTACAGGGAGACAATACCAGGATACCGTGCATACCATGTATGCACGGTAGCAGAGTAGTTTACTGAAAGGAAGAAATTTCTAGAATTCTTAAGGAGGGTGCAGAATGGCAGTGAAGAAAAGGAGCTTATCCACTCCTGACCCCAACAAGTTACTGGAGATGAGCTGTTTTGTACTCTCCATCATTACGGACAGAAGGTCAAGGTCATCGTTCAGAACAATAGTTTCCCAACCTTTAGAATGATGAGTTCCACCTGGCTCCTAGAGGCTGCTTTTTTGCTCTGGTTTCTTAACACATAACCTGTCCTTTCCCCCACCTCCTTCTCTAGTTCATAGTCTATAAATATTAACTAAATTTCTGCTTTAGCCTGTCAGTACTAGTGGCTGTGTTGCCTCCATTTTCATATTCTTGAACAAGAAAATAGGAAAACAGAAAAAAAAAAGAAAGAGCCCTGCATCCTGGATTCCTCATATTCGTGGAGGTAATGGGAGAAGGTTTTACAAGGTAACGATGATGCGGCCAAGGGCTGCATCAGCTCAGTCCTGTTTCTCCATTCATCCCACCAGCCAATTTGAGTGCACATGTCCACCTCCCAGGTACCCGCTGCCCCTCCCCACACAAGGCTGGATGTGTGGACACGAAGGTCAAGGGAGACCGTCAAGGTTCTGAAGCCATCTTTCTGGAAGTGAAGCAGGAATACAAAATCAAGGTACCTGCTGTTCATCCCTTCACCAGAGGAAGTCTCTCTTCCTGCTCAGCCTAAAAGAAAGGCACTGGGTGTGCAAAGTAGTGACTAGAGGAATTTTTTCTCTTCCTCCTCCTTTTCTGTCATTTTGCCTTCTTACTTACTCTCTTTACCTCTATCTACCCCCTGATATATTATACATTTACAGTGGCAAAACAAGGCTCTTCAGATAGACAGGCTTCCCAGGGATGGAACCCATGGAGAGAAGGCACTAGACACCCCGGGGCACACCCTGCTCCTCTCCTTCCTTTCAGCATCTGTCTCTAAGCTGCCATATCGTCCTGTGTTCACAGATCCATCATGCTTCGCTACACCTGAAACACAGGCACAGAAGACACCATGTCGTTCAGCTTCTCTTGAAATCACCAACCTAACATCTTCAACCGTGCTTTCCTGGGAAGTCTTTATTTCCTATTAATTTCTTTTTTCTTAATTGCACATCATGGAGGCACCTCGACCGAAAGTAAATGTACTCTTCCTCCCACCAGCAGCCACATTTCTCTGCCATGTGCCCACACCATCAGGGGGGCGGCAGGAGGGGAGAAGACAAAATAGAACCTGGTCAGCTCTTTATGCTGTGAGGGAAAAAACAAGGAGAGAACAATGGCCCTGAGGCTGCCCAGAGCACCACTGAGTCACAGCCTCATGGCGTCCACACACGAGGACAGGGGCAGCCGCCACCTCCCAAGGTCTCCAAAACGGCTTTGGATGTGGAAAGACACAGACCACCTGTGGCGATTCCTCCTTGAATCCCAACAAGCACTTTCTGGATGGAGTCCATTCTTTCCTCTTTGTGGCTTTCCCACCGCCTAGTCCTCTTTCTCCCCTTTCAATGTCTTGTCCTTTGCCCAGTCTTAGAGCCAACTAACAATGGCCTGGAACCTGGCTTCACCCCATTAGCATTCAAGGCAAACGGGGCTGAGACTCCGTCGAAAGGCCTTCTGGCAACCTCGTCACCAATCCACATGATGACTGGTGTAGAGCACTGTCGTGGCCCCAGCAATGCAAACAGGGCAATGCCCTTGGAGACGCACCTCACCTTGCTCATCCTACCTATGGAATCGTGGCGCATGGAGCTGCTTTTTTCACCCACACCTCTGTTCTATTTTTAAGTAAAATTCAGAGTTCATCCTCCCACTTGAAGGAGTAGAAGCAGATGGGGAATGAGCTCAGGTGTCTCGGGTGAGCACACACTGGATCACCTCAGCTATCTGTAGACATGGCGAGCACGGCTCAAAGTGGGATCCCAACCCGCCACTCAGATGACACCATGGTTACAGATGAGTGCTGAAGCAAGAAACGCTCAAGAGAATGAAACCTGGGGGAGGGGAGTAGTGAACTGGATGCTATCCATCCTTTCTGGACGATGAAGAACTCTCTTCTACCATGATGTTGAGTGACAAGGACCTTCAGCGTCTTCCCCAATATCCCTGTAGTATTTTGGATTGTTTCAAAGTATTATAAAAAATACTGGAGAAATTATTTAGGGGGAGAATACTTTCAGGAAGATTATTGGTGCAAGTGATTCTGCCACACTGTTTGGAAGATCTTGATCTCAACCTGATTCCTGCCCTTGGGTGCCTTCGGAGTTTGGGGACATACGGTCAGTGGACAAGGTGACGAGTAACCAGCTTACCACCTAGCCCTGCAGCCCATGGGCGACCTGATTTCCTCGGAGTTGTCTTGGATTGCATGAGCGACTAGCTGAAGAGCCATTAGCTAAGTCTTTTCCATTTCTCCTGCTATTTCTCTTTTCAAGTGCATGAATATACCACCTAGCCACATTGCACATGCTGTAGAATTTGCTGAGAGGGAGAAAAATGTAAGTATTAATTCTCTTTGGAGGGTCCAAGGCTAACACATGCAAACGGCACATCTCTTTGTTTAACACAAAGACTCACGTGTCGAATTCTGCACCCCTGCCACACACACAGCATTTTAGAACTCTGCGAGATAGCCATTTTGCAAGAGTGGGGAAGTAACAGTTTGCTCGGAGGATGTGTGGGTATAAATAGATGTGCAGACAGAAGGAGAAATTTATAGCTCAAATATAATAGCACACCAAAAAATACAAATTAAAAAGCAGAATACTGACAGAATTCCTTCTTTCCAAGCTTAAGATTTAAGTACTCTTAACCTGCAGCATCCTCCAATTCCAGGTGTTCCGAGGCCAGCCTGATTCCCCACCTAGACCTGTCCCTCTGCAGTAGGCCTCCCGGGATCTCTGGGCCCAGGGTCAGCATTTAGACAGCAAGTGGACTTCGGGGCAATAGCCACAGTAATCTCATTCATTATTTCGTCTTTTAAAAGGCATGAGAAGGATACCTAGGAAGGTAGAGACAGGAGCTAGAGAGACATGGAAGTGGCAAAGGGGAAAAACCAGCCTGAAAAAAAGAAAAAGCTTTCTCGATTCCCATAAAAAAACCAGAGCTTTAGCTTGGGGTGAATAAATGGCTATTTAACTCGAAAATCACACAGGTCTCCCAACCCTTATGCCATCCAACATCTGTCCCTACATACATCCACCCCCACTGCCTCCAAAAAACCCAAAACCTGTTAGATGAGGAAGGAAAAGAAATAACGTGGGAGATTTCCCCCTTTGTAAGAAGCCTTTTTCCCCAAACAGCATTATTTGAATATCTTGCTACCTTTTCTTTCCCCCAAAAAATCCACTTGAGGGACTTGAAGAGAGAGATAAACAAGGAATCCCTGCCCCAGGTGAGAAGAAAATGAAATAGAATTTGCCCTACCTTGGTTTGTAGAAGCCAAACCTCTAGACAGACAGATTAAGGGAGTGAGCATGTTGGGTATATCCAGTCGTGTCTTCTCGCTTGCATATCCACATAAGAAAGACGAAGGATAAATAAAAGGAAGATCATTTAAAATCCAATTTAGCGTGAATTTTGTTTTAATCTTGTGTCTTGAAGAGATGCAAATTCAATGAAAAAAAAAAAAAGATGGACTTCAAAGGTAATTCAGGGTATGGAGAGCAGCTCACAATGCAGAATCCCGAGTGATTATTCCGTTTGCATGTGAGGTTAGTGGCTGGACTATTTTTTTTTTTTTTAATGATTCTTCTGGCAATTACGGTTTTTGATTTTTGGAGCTTTAGTGGAGGAGGCTCTGTGTAGAGAAGCTGGGGGCCGGCTCTGTCCCTCCGTGGAGCATGGTCATTCCCAAAGCGTCCCCTTCCTAAGGGGGAAAAAGAGGCGGTCAAGGTTTGATTCGAGTGTCCCCCAGAGGGTGAGAAAAATGCATTCTGAAAAAGAGATCAATTCGTTTTAAGGAAAAGGGGGAGGAAACCCTGCATTTCCCACAGAGTGCACACGAGAGGAATTGCAAACAGCTGGCACTGGTCTATAAATAATTCAGAAAAGGTCTGGCTATACCATTCCTGGGACAGGCATGGATGCGAGGTGGGAAAGCCAACCTGAATGGAGGAGGAGAGAGGGAGGGAGGGAGGGAGGGAGGGAGGGAGGGAGGGAGCAAAGGAGGGAAGTGGGAAGCAGGGAGGAAGGGAGGGAGAAGCGGCTCCACGTAGCAACACACACTCACTCACACGCAGAAACACAACCCCGACTTAACTCGCTAGCAAGTGCGGCCCCCAGCCCCATCTGCAGTGCTGCTGACATGTCTGTCTCGTTCTCCCCATCGTCTCCAACAGCAGCGCCTCCTCCCACCCCGGGTTCGCGCTGAATGGGTTGTGATTGTGCACCGGGTGCACACTGGGCATTCCCTGGAAGGGGCACACTGACACGCGCGCACACACGCACGCGCCCCCGCGCGCGCACTCACACTCACCCCCGCGCACACTCACGCCGCCGCCGCCGCCGCGCTGCTGTGCAGCTCACGGGGCTTCACCTGAAACGTGTCGATTGGACGGATGGTCGCGGCGCGTGGCTCCGGCCCGGGGCACCGATGCCCAGCCTCTCTGCTCGGTAAGGGGACTAACCCCCCCCAAAAAACACCAGAGAGTGCCCTATCCCTTCACCCTGAAAAACCTTTTTTAAAAAGCCACGTCCAAATGAGCAAGTGCCGGGCTCTGCAGGCTTTAAGAGCTTTACTTAATGCCAGGTTGGTTAACGGCTCCACTGCTTCGACGCTTTATCTTCCTGACACCCCCATCCCCCCCCCCCCGCAAACTGAGACAAGAGACTCCAAGGCGAATATTTACGTACCGGCTCGGAGAGCCTAGGCGATAGGAGGGTCTCCGGAGCGGGGAGGCCGGTGGCCGAGGATGGAGGGTTTTCCTTTCCTGCAAAGCAGGATTAATAATCCGTCTCGGAGGGTTCTGAAGTTCACGACTCTTCTTTGCAAAGCAAAGGAAAATGCATCCGGACGCCAGCACTTCTGGAGGGTGGTGCTCAGAAATCACCCAGCCGAGCACTTTCGATAGAGCAAAGCCCCGAGATTTCCTAGAGGTGAAGAAGCCGAAGGAAGTGGTTTTTCAAAGGGGGTGGGGGACCTGCCTTTCTCCAAAAAGGTGGGGGGTGGAGAGGCAGGCGCCCAGATTCCAGCTGGTGATGATGGGAGCCGGGGGAGGGGAAGCGGGCGGGGGCAAGTCAACCGCGCGGCGGCGGGAGAGGAGGAGGAGGAGGGGGAGGAGGGGAGAGTAAGAAAACGGGGGATTAATCACCGGGTACGGGGGCAGGGCGGGAGATCACAGGCTGCCTGGTCTGGATTTGGGTCTCACACTCAAAAACGTGCCCCCCCCACACACACACACACAAGCACACACCCCTACCTCTCACACACTGCTCTGGTGGGAGGAGAAACCCGCGAAGCTAGGGAAGATGTTCCTGCTCCCAGAGTGTGTGTGCGCGCGTGTTCTCTTTCTCCACATCTCCCACCCCACCCCCAGACCCCTTCACCCCCTCACTCCTAATGCTAAGTCCCTGGCGGAGCCAGCTTCCCACGTCACGTGCTGGGGGAAGTGGGGTAGTAAGGGGGAGAACGCTTAGCCGAGTCCGTGGCGCCTCCTGCCGGCCGAAGTGGGGAACGGCAGCGAGGAAGGGCGGCCAAGGGGTCGGGGGAGCGAGACAGTGCCCCCGGCGGGCGGCCCCGCTCCGCTGCGGAAAGCGTCTCCAGGGCGGAGCTGCGGTTTGAGATTTACGATCCTTGCTTGATTTTCCATAAATCAGCCTTTGCTTCCTAAGTACGTGGCGTGTGCTGTACGCAGTTTAAAGCCGGGTTCTTGCCTTCAAGGGGCTTAAGATCTATTCTGAGCCCATGAGGCTGACGCGTAAAACGGGGAAACAAAGCAAGGTAAATGTAATTAAGGGCTAAATTGTGTAGTACAGATTACATGTGTGCTTTGCTGACTGGTAGTGAAGGTTTGAAGAATTTGGAATTTTTTATTAAAACAGATCCTTTTATTTAAAGACCTTGAGAAGAAGATGACGAGACAGGTGAATAATCCCTAAATAAAACTAGATTTCAGGGCATTTAAAAACCCACCCTCTTGTAAAAAGCAAACATCTATTCATTTCTCTCCCTCTTAAGCTGCTTTCTATTTTAACAGTACTTATCACCACCTGTAGTATTGTTTACTTTTAATATTAATATCATTGTGGAGGCATCATTTTTATTCAGATCCGTTGTCTCTTCAGAGATACAGAATATTACAGTGGTGGAGCATTTTCATTCTGGTTATGTCATGAGCTTCTTACCCACATTCCTGAGAAGCAGCCATATAAGCACACCGGTAACAATCCTGTGTGAAGTGTTTACACCTAGTAGCTAGGTGCTCTGATCTACATAGAATGGGGTCCTATAGACCAGACAGCACCCATAATACATCTGAACTAATTCTTTCATGTTTCCTGATTTTGATAGGCCGAATCTTTGAATGTAAGATTTTTAACACACACACAAACACATAAGCATTACAAGAAAACACAAATACAGTGTGTTCACGTGTGAATTATTCTGTCTCAGTAATGGTAGAGCTATTTTTCTAAGTCAGGGTAAGGCTGACCTTCCACCTCTTTGGAGAACTGCAGAGGCACCCTGAATTGCTGTGCCCCTTGACATACAACGGCCAACCCAGCCACTCCAGGTGTAGAGTTCCAGTTGTTAGCATGTGGATTCCAGGAGGGGTGTAGGATAAAGGAGAGCAAGGGCCCTGTGGGGCTTTCCTGAAACACTCCTCCTGGAGTTTTCCAGGAATGCCCATTAACTTCACAATAGTATCCAATCTCACTCAAGGCTGACCTTTAATCTACTTTTTTTTTTTTTAAACCTCAGAGTCCACCCTCCCCTTCCTATCCTTGATCCCCTTCACCAAAATTGGACCAATTCTCTTATTTTATTCCTTTCCTGGACCCAGCAGTTCCGTTCCTGCCTCTTCACTTTTGCAAGTATAGAGAAGGATGAGATCTCAGATCCCCTCTCCCTAACTAAGTCCACCCTCTCTTTCAGTTTCTAGCTCAAGTTCCAAGTCCACAGAAGATATTTTTCTGTCAACCAAGCCTGAACTGATTTCTGTAACAATTTCAAGGATTTTTAAATGAGGTCTGGCACCTCACCACCATCCCCCTGACTCCGCCCTCTGCATTTGGAAATGTGTAGAGGAATCTGCACGAAATGACTGGGTGATGCCACTGGCATGTACGACCCAGGCACGAGATACTACACATACCAAATTGGACATTTGGTCCTGCACTATGAAGAACTGGCCCAAAAGGAGAACTATACTTCCACAAGCTATTTATCTTGAACTGTAGGAAGCTACTGGTATTTAATCATATGGAATAACCATTAATTATTGACTTATAATAAAAAGGCAATTTCATAAGGTTAAACTTAAAGGTGTATCCTTATGTACAGTATACCTCTTATCTTCCCAGTTAGTTGTTTAACTACTTAGGGAGACAGACCAGCATCTAGGTATCCATATATTCCCAGCACTAGGCTGTTGGTTGGCAACCTCAGAAGTTCCCCTGGGGCAATTCAAAACGGCCCCGGTACAGAGAAGGCAAGGAGAGACCAAAGAAAGAGGCAGACCACTCCAGATTGGTAGGTGGCAGTTGTAATAAGCAAAGGAACTTACATACCAGGCTTGCTGTCTTGGGCGGCTGCAAGACGAGTAGCTCTCCACACCTGCTGGACCTAGACAGCAGCCCTAACAGGGTTCAGTCACATATTCATTCCAGATGGTGTCAATAATACATCCTCTCAGGGTTGCATCCTTGAAGTGGCTCCTAGGGCAGGAACAGTGGGTGAAATGGACATTCCAAGGACAAGGGGAAGGTGTAAGGAGTCTTCATATTGCCTGGGTCCAACTCGTGGGTCAAATTCTGGTCACATCCTCTTAATGATCTCCTCCAATAGTGGTACAATTTCACACATGTGGGGTCTCTGTAAATATTAAGGACTTTTTATGACTGTTAGAAACCACTTTCCCAAGCAGTCTTGCCAACTCTGGAAGAGCTAATTCTAGGGACCATGCAGCCTGTGAGCAGAAGGTGGTATCTCTTCTCCATGGTGTCCAGTGCCCATTTAATGAGGGAGACCTCTCTCTCCTTATTTCTCAGACTTCCTATCACTCACTTGCACTTCTAATGAACAACCTTTGCCTCCAAGGACCACAAACCTTTCAATAAAACTGTTTTCAGAGATCACCCAGATTCATGAAATCTGAAACACCATTTCTCAATGTTGCAAATATGCACTTCCTAACTCCTAGTCAGCAAAGAAAGAAATATTCTAACACGACAAGATGTTGGGTTATATTTCACAGCATTATTTATTGAGGTAAAAGCTCTCACCTGAGGCTGCTAATGACACTGTTGGAGGTATTCTGCCAGCTCACTTGACCCAAAGGATCACAGGAGATGCAAACAGTCCACGGCCCCATCAGCAGATGCAAAGCCCATGCCTTGTCTGGAGAAAAAAGACAGAAGTATATTCATCTCACAGCATCTTTCAGATCAAACATGGAAACGAAAGGGTAGGGCCTGAAGCTTACAATTTGGAGTCCTCCTTTAAGGAAAAGTGTAGAAAATTTGATCGAAAGTAAATACATAAAATGAGAAAATACATCACAACAATTGAAGAATTCTGATACTTATAAATGCAACACTTTTTAAAATTAAATACCATTTTTTATTAGTTGCTGTTTGACTCTTCTGTAATACTTGCTTTTCTACATTTTTTTACTTCATACTCTTTGAGTACCCCTTCACATTATGATTATTATATCATTTTCTATAGAAATAATAGAAAGAATCCAGGATGATCTTTACCATGGTTGTTCAAAAATTGTTTTTTATTGTTGATCATTTGGGAAAATTTCTTACTTATTGGTAGTAGTACATTTTTCAGAATTGTTGAATTAGGGAAAACCTTTATCAAATTCTTTTTATATATAAATTGTAAGGCTTCAAGGGTTTCAAGTTTTCTTGTACAGTGACTAATCTTAAATATACCTTGAATTGATGACACTCATTAACCAGTTTGCAATGTATTATAAAGTTTTACATTATCTTCATCAATGTCAGTATTTTGTCTCAAACTTACCAAAACTTTAAATCATTTCCCAATGTGTACATATGACTCACTCCTCTTCATTAACTGGATTATCAAACAATCCAGGAGCCTATTCATTACTTCTATTCAAAATTTCTCTTTTCTAATTGATACAGCCACTGTGGAGAACAGTATGGAGGTTCCTTAAAGAACTACAAATAGAACTACCATATGACCCAGCAATCCCACTACTGGGCATATACCCTGAGAAAACCATAATTCAAAAAGAGTCATGTACCAAAATGTTCATTGCAGCTCTATTTACAATAGCCCGGAGATGGAAACAACCTAAGTGCCCATCATCGGATGAGTGGATAAAGAAGATGTGGCACATATATACAATGGAATATTCCTCAGCCATAAAAAGAAACGAAATTGAGCTATTTGTAATGAGGTGGATAGACCTAGAGTCTGTCATACAGAGTGAAGTAAGTCAGAAAGAGAAAGGCAAATACCGTATGCTAACACATATATAATGGAATTTAAGAAAAAAAAATGTCATGAAGAACCTAGGGGTAAGACAGGAATAAAGACACAGACCTACTAAAGAATGGACTTGAGGATATGGGGAGGGGGAAGGGTAAGCTGTGACAAAGCGAGAGAGAGGCATGGGCATATATACACTACCAAACGTAAGGTAGATAGCTAGTGGGAAGCAGCCGCATAACACAGGGAGATCAGCTCGGTGCTTTGTGACCACCTGGAGGGGTGGGATAGGGAGGGTGGGAGGGAGGGAGACACAAGAGGGAAGAGATATGGGAATATATGTATATGTATAACTGATTCACTTTGTTATAAAACAGAAACTAACACACCATTGTAAAGCAATTATACTCCAAAAAAAAAATTTCTCTTTTCTTCTTAGAGAATTATAGTTTTGGTATAATTTGAAAAAAAAATGTTGCAATTTGCTTCCCAGTGTCAGACTGATTTCTATTGATGTCAGGGCTAATCTTTATCTTCTTGTTTCATATTACATTAATTATTATCTAAGTTTTCTCTTGGTTCTTTAATAAATAAATAAATGTAGATAATAAAAGAAGGAACTCTTCAAATATGTCCCAAACAGCAGTCTGTAATTTCTCATTTGTTTGGTTAAAATGTCCCAAATTATCTTTCCAAAGTGCAGGTTAAGTGGCACAATCAAGCTTTATCAACTCTTTTGAATAAACTTTTCTACATCTCTATGTTCGCGTTTCCCTTCCCAGCCTAAGAAAAATTTTAGAGCCTTAATGTTGATGTACACATGTTACAAAGCTTGAGCAGCTTTCTAACGGGAAACATTACACTTTGATTCTTTAAAGAAAATTCTAAGTTGTCACATACTCTATTGGGGAGAAAATCTAAAAGGAAAAAAAGCTGCGACAAAATACAAAAGTGGTCAACGACTTCAGGTGAGGTGGGGGGCAGCTTTTTTTCCAACAAGGGGACGACCCATGGAGCACATGTTCTGTGACACTTTTATGTCAGGATACTGGGTGAGTAGGTGCAAGGCGCAGGTGGAGTTTTCCTGGAAGTTATCCTTGGGACAGCTGGCAATAACTTTACAGGAAACTGACGGCAAGCTGCGTAAATATATCTCACTAAACCCAAATTAAATTATTCCCTACTCAACTTCCTCTTAGCTTCATCTCCAAGATGCTCACCGCCAGTCCAAGGACACCCAGCGTGAAGGAAAATCAGAGAAAGTTGGAGTGGAAAGAGACAGCAATCTTAAGCGATTTGCAATTAAAATATGCTACTTTTGCAAATTCTACTAAAACATTTGGACAATTAGGGCCTCTCCCACAGTCTTAGAAAGGGCCCCAGGTGAATGGCTGGGAGTCTGAAGCTGCATTACCTTCAAAGTGGGTCTGTCCCCGCTCGTTACCTCAAGTAAAACAGGCTTCCTGGTTTCCAGATAAAATACTGGAATGTTTATCACCTCTGAAAAAACAATTCATAAAGGCTTAGCTGACAACATGCATGTTAATGCCTTCTGCTGAATCCAGTCCATCTTCTTCTGCTTACTATTCCTGGAGTGTCCAGGAAACACGGGCAGAACACTCAATTTGAATCATCTCACAAGTGTACTAAGATCCTACCATCATTACTCTTTTAAAAGAATCTCTATTTTGTTCTTATCATAATGATATTAATTATTCAACTCGGACAATCTTTTTTCAAAGGGATAAACAACCTTCATCCCCTTGTGTGAAGCCCTCCAACAATGAAAAATGTCTTTATTATCCACTGCAGTTTTTTGAGCCTGTTGTGTACATTGTGAACAATACACTTCTAGACATTTGCATTGTGTACTCAAGGGAACATTTCTTTAATACTTCCCCAAATGGGCCCTTTTCTCTTCCAAATTATACAATGGGGGCAGAAGGGAGGAGAGAAAAAAGGGAGGAATAAATAAGACTTTCAGAAAGAGGACTGAATCTAGAAAGCAGGAGATGTGATGAGATAGTAGGAGTTCTCTGTAACAGAGAAAGGGAAGACTCCACATGGTGTTATTTCTATCAGCACTCAACTCCTGCGAGAACACACCCCGAGTGGAAATAACCCCCTATTAAGCACAGTTAGAGTTGGCACTGCCTTATTGTTTTTTTCCCCTCCTCCAACATAGCAAAGCTATGACAACACTGTATCTGACCCAGCTGTTTTTGTTTTTGTTTTTTTTTAACAAATTCTTTAGAATCTTGCTTTTTCTTCCACCTGGAAAGGTCTTCTTTTTCTTTTTCTTTTCTTTTTTCCATCTAAGCACGGGGTGGGGGGAAAAAAACATCTCTAGACTCACCATTATGGTGAAAAGAAGATGCACTCTTCTGATGTTTCAGTGCCCGATTGTTCAAGCTTCTTGAGAAATGTGCCCCAGTTTCTTTTACTACAGACAACGTGGATGAGAGACTGTCTCTATCTGAAGGCATTTTGAAACATCGTATTACCAGAGGCAGTCAGATAATGATGTGAATGATAAAACAAAATGGAGATCAATTTTGTAATTCTCCTCTCGCTAGTTCCCTTCTCTCTTGTCACTTCACGCTCTTCTCTGAAACTTCTTAATGTTTTTCTTTGTGAGCCATGTGTCAGTGCCCCCAGTATTCTTTTTCCACTTTAGCATCTGCCTCCTTCCACGTGGATCTTTACTCCTGGAACCATCACTGTCATCAACCTCCGGGCAGATACCACCTCCTTTTCACGCCCCTTCAGAGAGTCCTTCTATCACGCAGCGGAGCTTTGACTGAGAGTGACTTCTGCCCACTTCTCCTGGCCCCTCTGCTCCCATCGCCCTGCACCCTTCCCATTCGCCACCAAGAGACCTTATGTGGAGCCCAGTTAAAGGAAATAATGACAAAGCAGCTTAGGAATCTCCTGCCAGAGTTGAGGGAAGGAAGAGGCCACAGGGAGACCTGGGCAGGCTGTTGAGAGAACACGAAGTCACAGGGGTGTGAGACGATCACGTGTGGAGTCAATGGTCCCACAAAATAAATGTGAAATTAATGTGAAATCGTGTGAATTAAGATGATTTCATTAGGGTGTGTGTGTGTGTGCGCGCGCACACGCACACACACACACACCAGCGCCTTGAGAGAATTCTGAGGCGCAACCTGAGGCAAAGGGTGGTTATTCCTCACATGTCCCAAATCCGCATGATTAGCCTGAGAGGGACGGAGCATAAGCTTCACGAGGGCAGGGCCCGGTCCATTTTGTTCACAGCAACATTCCTAACACCCAGGGCAGTGCCTGAATAAGTAAATAAATGAATGACTTCTAAGAGGACCTAAAAGATGAGTAAGTATTTAAAGAAGGATTTTCTCTGCCGCTGTAAGAGCTGCGTTATGATGACCCTGCTTGAACTTCTCAACAGGCTCCCCACTAATGGGATTTAGTTCAAACTCTCCCCTGGCAGGTGGGCTCCTTCACAGTATGGCTCCAACTTCTCTCTCCTCTGTATTTCTTCATAACATCCAGTCATTTTTTTCATTTTGTTTTAAAATTGAGGTTTATTTTCTTTTTAAATTTAGATTTCAGTTTTCTCAAAGTTATATAAGAAAAGAGTTTAAAATGCTTGAAATAGCTCAACCGCAGTCCCCTGACCTCCCATCACCACCATTTCCCACTTGCTAAAGGCCACCACTTTTAGCTCATTTAATTGAAGCTGTTGGCACTAGCCCTCCCAGCTCAAAATGACACACTTACAACTGCTACTTCTTAATTTTTTAAATTTATTCATTATCTATTGGCATCCTGCTATGGAAGATAAAGGTTTGCCTCTTTTTCAAAAACAAAAACTAATGTACCACATATAAGCACACTTCCTATCTACCCTCATATTCTCCAATCTA